GAACATATTTTTAAAGGTGACTTTTATTTTTAAAGATTTTTTTTTCTTGATCTTTTTATCGATTTCCTACACACTCCCGAAATTTGATCAATTAAATATACATACATACATTGAGTATCTTATCTAAAAAATATTTCACATAAAATTTGTATAGTCTGTGTATATGAGTCGATAGCCGTAAATTAGAAATTGTATATGATTTTATCATCATAAGCAGCAAATTTATTACTTTGGAAAAACCTTATATTTCAATTCTTTATAATATGACTAAAAAGATGACTATTAAGATATTACTAAAGACTACTAAAATAAAAAGAACATGCATTTTATAGAAAATGAACAATACATTCGACTTTTAATCAAAAATAATTCAAGATAATGTTAATTTCTTTACAAAAAAATGTCAAATATTATATTAAAAAATTATATTTTTGGATATTACAATCTCAATTATCTTAGAAATCTTACGTGCGGGAATTTTGTAGCTTGCGGTATCGTTTAAAAATCAATAAAGAACATTTAGTCTTCGGTTCGAAGTAATTCTTTATTGTAAATTAGTATTATTCTCAGTCAAATCAGATTTAATTAATATTCTCAAACATTTATTGTCTACATTTTAAGAGATATACTGGTATCACGAGTATCAATTATGCATCAAGGATGTCAGTTTTCCATATATACACCTTGATTATCTCATCAGTCTTTTGCATCGAAGATAGTTATGACTCTCACAATGCAATTTCCTAGCGTTTATAGCTTCCTCAATATATTGCTCTCGCAACATGAAGATCGCGTGCTTTTTATGACTGGCGATTATGTATGGATATAAATAATTATTGATTATGCGAAACAAATTAAGGAGATCCTAAAGTCGTTTGATTTATTTATGATTTTTCAAATAAGTATATTTTTCTAACTGCCTTTTCATATATGTAATTTAAAAATCTTCCTTCATAATTAAAGATAAGCAATAATATAATCCAAACAGGTCGACTTTATGTTAAAAATGACAAAAAGTTGAAAAATTATATAGTTTGATTGTCGGCTTCTAACGTCGATTCGCAATATTTGCTTTATATACAAGCTTTTTATACTTTGTACATATAAAATAACCTTGGTTTAGACTAAGGATTACATAAATAAACAATATTGTGTTCTTAGAATTAGACTTAGATAATACCTAATATAAAAAAATTGTACATATACGTGTGCGTTCGACATTATTGTTAGTTATTATTAGATATTATTAAATATTATTGCAGTTATGTTAATGACGCATTAATCATATGTGTATAGATTATACTGAATCGATAATACTGAAAAAAGGAGTGTTTAATTTTAAGTTTAAAATGTTTTGTTCTTGTCTTCGTTTTTTAAACGAGTGTGCCCCTTTCCAGGCCCCTTAATACTTTCGATTAATAAATTTATCGTATGTTTGGAGTGCTAAGCAATATAATATTTTATTTTTTAATTAAAAAAATTCAATTAATTATTGAAATATTTCATAATGTTACAACAATATATATACAATCGAATCTCTACAAAAGTAACTTGTCGGGACCGACATCCGTAAAAGTAAACAAATGCGCAAGCGCGAGTATATGTGCTCAATTACTATATATATATGGGAGATTGAGCATAATTTTTACGGAGGTTAAAACAAAAGCGGAGGTTAACTTTACGGAGGTTCAACTATATATCTGCAATACTTCTCTAAATATTATGGCAATATCGTAGAATATTGAAGCAAAATTTTATTTTAGCGGACATAGGAATATTGCTACAATATTGCAGCAATGTTTTATGAAGTATTGTAATTTTTCAAAATAATATTGCTGCAATGTTGTTGTAATATTGTGTGTAAGGCTAAGTTAAAAGTTATATTTTCGACAGTTATTTTTTTCTCTCATTTCATCGTTAATCTAAGCTACCTTAAAATTTTGTGTCAAGTTCGGTTAACTTTAACTTTATTAAATAAAGAAATTAGACATTTTTATGGAAATTTTATTTTTACTAAAGAATCATATAATCTTAAGGGGATCCTTTAAGGGGATTCTAAAGCCATCTGTACACTTACAAAAAAGAAATATTTAATTTTAAGATATTAAAATATCTTAATCTCTCTGGAGTTCTTATCTCCATTTTTTAAACACTTAAAGTTGTTTTAATTTGACATTTTTTCCATACACAAAATACTATGTATTTGGATTTAAAATACATAATATTTTTAATCCGAATATGTATAAGTGTTTTGTTTATTGAAAAAGTTTAAAACTAAAACATCTTTAAGTGTTTAAAAAATAGAGACAAAAACAAAACATTTTAATATCTTAAAATTAAATACTTCTTTTTTGTATCCTTCTAAAATACGATAACTTTAAGATCGAAAGCATTAAGGGCCCTGGAAAACACACTCGAAAGAGCTTAGAAATCTCCAGGAGACTCATCAACTCGATTTGCGTTCTCCTTCTTATAGGATTCCTGGATGTTTTCTTTTTAAAAAATGCGTTCATTGGACGCAGTAAGGGACCGCGTACTTACATGTCGAATCATAGTATTGCAGCAATATATTGCAACAATTTCTATAAAATATTAAAACTACAATATTTCACAATATTATTGCAATATTTCCAATAAAATATTAAAATTTCTGCAGCAATATTATTGCAATTTTTGTAATATTGCGGTCTACTAAAATATTGCTATAATATTTCTGTAATATTTTGTATTGCACGGGAGTAATGGATAAGAATCGAAGATCGGAGACACTCTTTTGACTATAACTGCACACAAATATTACCATAGACTTCTCCACGAAAAAACAAGATTATAAGTTTAAAAAATTATAAGTTCAAAAAATTACGATTGTAATGATCATAAAAAAATAATAGGTCAATGGTCATTCTAAAAAGATATTTTACATGTGTGTGTATGTGTGCATAAACTTGCATATAAATTTAACCGTAAAAAGTAATCATAATGTTATCTTGTTTTCGTTTGATGAAGATACAACTTTTGATTTACTAGCATATATTTCATACTATTCCATTAAAATATACACATACACACGCGCACGCGCACACACACACACACACGCACACACACATACACACACAGTTTTAATATTTTATCCGAATTATATAGATATTTATGATTTTGAGTGGGTTCTGTTGTGATCCCATTTTACTAAAGAACTATTAGGTTGGTGCGTATGAAATGTCGGATTTTTAAGTGAATATATAAAACTGCATATCTTTTTTTAAAAGCTGTTTATTTAATTAAAATATGCTCCATTTGTTTCAATACACTTTTCCCAACGAGATTTTAATGCATAGATGCCTGTCTTAAAGAAATTCTGATCTTTAGAATCAATAAACTCTGATATGGAATTTTTCAGTCTTCATTTTCTGTCTTCATTTTCATACTGTTTAGCCCGTAAAAACTGTTCTAAATGTTTAAAAAAATGAAAGTCGATTGGCGAAAGATCCGGTGAATAAGCTAGGTGCTGCAAAATTTCATATTTTAATTCATTTAATTTCGCAATTGTTTTGTACGACGTATGCGGCCGAGCGTTGTCGTGGAGAAGTATTGGGCCATGTCGATTAACAAGTGATGGGCGTATAATTTTCAATTTTTCATGCATTTCATCAATGTACTGGCAGTACTTTTCGGCTGTAATTGTCTCCCCAGTTCGAAGGAATGAGTAATGAATTACTCCAGTCACATTTCACCAAACTGTTATTAAAATTTTCCGTGGATGAAGTGATGGCCTTGGAGTATGAGCACAAGCCTCATTCCTATCAAGCCACCGAGCACACCTTTTCCTATTGTCGTAAAGAACCCATTTTTCATCACAAGTAATAATCCGATCGAAAAATGGCTCTCGATGAAATCGGGTTAGTAATGATGAGCATACGTTCAATCGATCCAGCTTATTTCGCTCGATCGCTACTTTCAGTTAGTTCGTGTGGTACCCATTTATCCATTTTTTTCACCTTGCCAATTTCAGAAAGATGTCGCAATATCGTTGTATGGTCAACTTTCATACTGGTAGCAAGTTGTAGATACAGTTGGATTCGTTTCCACCAATGCTTTCAGAGCATCATTTTTCACAGACGTTTTGGGTCTTCCACGCGGTTCATTTTGTAGGCGGAAATTTTTCAAACCAACGCTGCACTTTTCGATCGTTAACAGTATTCTCCCCAAATGCCTGGTTTATATTGCGTGCAGCTTTTGCAGCATTATTACCAAGTTTATACTCGTATAAAAAAATTATATGAATATCGGTTGAATTCATATCCTTACGAAATTCAAAACAAATAACAAAATGGAACACTTTTGAGAAAATCTTCTTTGTTGAAATGTAACTCTGGCAATGGACAATACGACTATAAACGAGGTTATGCCAAAAACAAAAGCATAACGAAAACAGGGAGACAAACATTCATATATAAAGAAAATCCGACATTTCATATGCACCAACCTAATACTTAAAAAATGCATGACTCGTTCAAATCCCACGTACTTCTTTTAACGTCTAACAATACGTTATTTGTAAATAAAAGATATCTAAAGTGAAAGAGATATTCCGACATATAGTTTTAATTTTGCATATTAATTGACAACATCAAAGTTTTTATAATTAAAAATATATCATTTAATATTCTAGTAACTTTAAAATTGGAAAATCTACTTTTTAGAGAATTAATTACACAAAGAGTATTTCACAAGAGTATATGTATATGGCTATCGATAACTATCGGTGTCGATAACTAACTAACGATATTCAAATAGGTAAGGACGATCTTAAGAAAAAAGATGCGGTTCTCATTAACTGTCATTATTTAATGTATAATTCATACAGCGTACGACATCAGATGTACGACAATACGATATTCAATAAGAGAATTCGGTTCTAATTAGCGATATTTTTACGTAATATCCCTACAAGTATTAAAAGGCCATAATTTATGTACCGTCGTTACCCCTTTACGTCATCCGAAGATGTATTTCGAATGTTCCTCGAGTATCATGTTATCTTTGTTTAACATTCTATTTTCTAAGATGGAGTGATACGTCTGAGTGAAACCGGAAACACAGGCAATAGGAATAAGAAATTTTAACCTATCAGAAATCCATTCTAATATGCATGGTCTCTAATAGGTCAAAATTTGTTATTTCCTGTTCCTATATTGTCTATATTTTTCATTGTGTTTTCGGCTTGACACTCGGGTGGGAATCTGAACCCACGATGCATGTCTGAACAACACGAGAGAATTCGTCGCAAGATCACGTGTGGCACGTGCAATGATTACGCGCGCCACAAATTAATAATTTCAAGCTCGTTCACGCGTCATGTGAATGTGGAGTACTCGTGATGGTGGGCGAGCGCGGTCTTAGATGGGAAAAACCGTCATACGGCTTTTACATGGAGGGGGATGGTCGCGAAGAAAGGAGTGTAGATCCGTCGTGTACAGCGGATCTGGAAATGCAGGGACACATCGCCGGTTCTCAGTCACAGTATCGCGTCCTCTCAGTCCGCCTCGACGACATCGACGCTGTTGACTGCGTTCCTCTTCCGTTTCTTTTCTTCCGTAATTTCATCCGGTCCGCGAAAGTGGGTGATTTTCTCCTTTCTCTTTCTTTCTCTCTTCTCGACATTCATGAATTTTTATAATCTTGTACGCTTTTCTTTTCTCATGAAGAATCTACATCAATACATCTTATTATTTGCGTTATTATAGAGAAGAAGATAAGAAGATATATGTGGGTTCTAGATTTCGATTATTTTGATCAAGAAAATTTTTTCGTGCAGTTATCGCAATGGAGACTGAATGTATGTAAAGGCGAATTTTGCTTGAGAAGTAAAAGAACGTTTTGACACGGCGATCGCTGCAAAAAAAAAACAACGAAGAGGAAATTCGAAGAACGTATATTGCAACCTCATGAAGCACCACCATGACCACGATTTTGCGAACATGTCTTTGCTTCATTCTTTTGACGGTAGGATTTATGAGTGTGTAATACATATGCATAATCACAACTAATGTAAAGATACATTATTAATACAACACAGCACATTTAGTAGAGAAAAACTTAGGAAAGATTAATCTGATATCACAAAATAATTTTCATATGCACTGTTTTTTTTTCTTATTCGCGCATACCTACATGTATGTCAGGATTAAGTTAGTAAGTGAATTATAAGTAAAATTAATCCAGTAGGTAAATTTTACATTGACATAGATACGGATGAAAATATTATCACAAGTAATTATTGATTTTTTTATGGGTTGGCAAGTGTTAGCAAATTGACATTTGCAAGTATTAACAAATTGACATTGACATTGACATTCTACGTTGACGTCTTCGTTGACGTCTTCGTAGAAGTGTTACAAAGATCTTCGAGTTAAATGCCAATCGCGAACTGATGATTACTGTTTCTTAAGTTTTCTAATAATAACTGGTAAATGAATCGGCAAAATAATTACGTTATATAATCTTATGATTACAATGATGAACTTCGTAAACCAGTATTGACATTGGTGACGAAACCGGATGTTTGCGCAAAAGATTATAGATACTTATATAATAAAAATAAATTCAATTTTAATTTAATAAGGATGCAAATCGAAGGAATTTACACATGATTGTTAGAAGTATAGATACTAGCTGGTAGAACTACATTAAGATCTGGAAAAAATAATAAAATTAAAACTGCATTATAATTAATGTCTAAAATTAATATTTTACAATATATAAGATCTTATTTTCTTACAGCTTTTTAATTAATATTTCCTAGCAACAAAGATTAAGGAAAATCCATTCTTATTTCTTAACTTATGACTTATCTGACAAATTTTGAAGAATTTAGGAAGATGATTTACATATATAAGATGAATAGTCTTAAGATAATTTAGATACAAAGTCTCATATTTTACATACAATAATTACTTTAAATTGTTACGAATTGTAGGTATTTAAGTCTGTCAAAGAAGTGTATGTTATTTTACATATATTCAATGGTGATGGCTCGAGATAATTTACGTAACTGCATTTGCGTGCCGGTGAAGCAGCTGATTGTTCCGTACACTCGTCGAATACAATCTATCACGCATGTATTCACATCATCGTTCGATCGAAACTGACACCGGCATGATTTGTGGAAGGTGCTCATGAAAGTTAATGCCGAGGATGTATTCGTGAGAGGCACCGGCTCCTATTCTATTCCGAAGAGTTCGATGCACGAACGCGCGGTACCGTGAAGATGGCGTGAATGGAAGTATAACAGAGGAGGACGCCTCTCTTTCTCCATGCTATCGAGTAGTATAGCACGTGCGTGACTATCAATACAGCCAAATTCACTCAAAAAGATACAATCAAAAGAATCAGCTTTGTTTCCAAAGTAATTTGATTACATTGTAAACTGATAATCATTTATCATACACTTTGATATTATATGTGGTTGTTGAGTTTGAAGTATTATTTAATATAAGAATTTTTTTTAAGAGAAAGAGAGAGAGAAAGATAATATATAAATATATGATCGATGCAATTGTTAATACTATCTGTTTGGAAAAACAATTGAATTTTCTGGGAACAAAACGTAAAGGCTATATATTTTTTTAAGGAAAGTGAAGAAATAAGTTGAGAAATAAGAGAACGGATTTTCCTTATAATTTTTGTTGCTAATGGATATTAATTAAAAGGCTGTGAGAAAATAAAATCTTAAATATTAACCTTACACATTAATTGCAATATAATTAGCACGATAAAAAAATTGGTTCCCAAGTATGATTTCTTAATGCAATAATTATAACAAAATTTATTCTTATTTATTCTCATTATTGTTAATTGTTCTTATACAGCGTATTTTACAATACTATTTGATTAATTGGAAATAATTAATATTATTATTTTACGTTAGTATTTAAAGAAACTAAATTATTAAAAGGTATTAAAAGGTATTAAACTAAAACTTGAAGTAGATTGTTTCTAATTTCGCGTAATTATTAAAAAATCACGAAATGAATATCTAATATATCTTTGCGTTTGAATAGAGTTAGAAGCGCGCACCGATCTTTAAGCGTTGAATGTAAATATCGAGAAGAAATGATGTGAAAGTAAAATAGTAACGTGAAACAACTTTGAGTATCAAAGTGGCAGTTTAGAAATACGTATTACTAATTTTGCATGCACGAAGAGTTACTAAATCGAAATGGAAGCATCCGGTACACAAGGCATTTGCGTTTGAAAAGAATTGGAAATAAAAACTGATCCTCGTTGTTATTGTCGTAAATATCGAGACGAAGTTATGCGAAGGTAATTAATATAACGTGCGCTCTGAATATCAATTAGCACATGTTCGTGTGAAGGTCGCGACGTGTTCATGAAACGCCGACGCTCCTCAAATACCAAGTGAGATCACAAACGAGATCGCGCATTTATCACGTGTCTTCTTCATGCGACACCATCTGCAATTACGATCCATAATAAGTACCACGATTGTATACGACGTGGTTGGATCACCGCAAGATGCCACCGACGATGCTAGTCTTCGTGTGCGGTATGTTACAATCTTCAAGCATTACTTTAGTTTAGAGATTCAGATGATTCTTGTAGATACAATAATACGGGTGTCAAAAAATAATACATATTTTTAATTTTAAATAATATTAAATAAACGAAAAATGTTATTTAAAAAATAATTGAGTAATTCTATTCGCAAACATGAAAGAAATAGCATTTATTCTTGGAGAATGATAATACTGCGTAACAGATTAATAGATAAGAAATAAAAAGTACAGGATTCAAAGTACAGCATTTTATTATTTAATTAGCTTCTCCATTCATTTTATTTTCGTCACAAGATTTAAATACATTATACATTTGTATTATTCATGCTGAGCTAGCATCGTATATATACATATATAAGTTTCGCAAAATTTAATGATTAAGCGATACGAATGTGTGCCAACTTAATTGTTTAACAATAAGATGAATCTCATAGAGCGATTGATCAAGAATCTTGTTAATTCCTTGTCTCTATTAACTAATTACGTCTGCAATTAGCATAACAATATCCTTTTCCTGTAAACACCGAATTCTTTGTCGGCTACCAATGTCGCCAATTTCCCGGGCGCGCAATTTCATTATAATCCTAGATTATATCACGTGATCGGGCACGTGAGAATCGCGCGAAACGTGGGTGTTTAATGAGAGAGGAGATCGCAAAGAGAGGATGCATGGAGAACGGCGCGGCGGAAGTGAGCGAAAGGAGCCGCGGCGGCTCCTGTGCAAAGGTGAAATCACCGTGACCGACGGGAGTCGACCGACGGACAATGGACGATGCAATGATAATTTAGTGAGTTAATCGTGTAGCTTGAACGACCTCGTACAAAACCGCCGGCCAAAACGATGGCTTTCCTTGGCGAGAGGATGGAAAATTGATGCGAGGCGTAGTTATAAACGCGTTAAGATTCCGAAGCTCCTGAGAATTGTGCGTTATTATACGACGAGAATGAGAAATTTGTGTTGAATCCTTAATACATAACACAATTTATTCCCTGTCTTGATTGCTTATGGTCCCAACTTGAATTCGCAATTGTTATCTGCAAAATAACTCTTTTACTGCTGTAAGCTTTGAGGGTACCCCATTGCCCTTAAAATATTAAATTACTTTCTCATGCTGAGTCTCCATACATTTAAAAAAAAAAAGAGAAAAATCAGTTAATCTTCAATTAATTGATGTTTATGATAAAACAATTGATTTTAATCTTTGCTTAAAATTACTGTGTTCGATAATGAATAATAACACGTTATTACATTACATACATACACATATGAATAACACATACGTATTTTACGTTATTTTCTTACAAAATTCTGCATTTGCAAAGCAATCTATTAGTGTTGAATTCTTTCGTGTTGATTGAAGATGACTGATACTAAGTGCCTATCTTTCGCTTTGACGTTAAAGAAGAAAAGTGTTCGCTCGAGAGGAAATTAATACTTATTTGCGAACACTATAATTTTGATAGAGATAAAATAAGGAAGTGTCCAGCGTTTCTCTTAAGAACAAAGTGGATTGTGAATGTATCAAAAAGGAAAAGAAAAAGAAAAATTATCCTACATTAAAGTTATAGATACGAAATATTATGTCATTGAGTTTACTTTTCATAATGACTTTTCTCGTTATCTATAAAACTGCAGGCTAACTACATATATACAGAATACAGACGAATATTTTCATCCACTGTTGGATATCTTGAATTTCATAGAGTAAAGTGCATAAAAAAACATGTATGGCCATGCAATCGTAGATTGATAAAATTAATATAATATATCGTTTAAAGAGTTCACGTCTATAAATACATGGCGTTATATAATCAGCTTTATGTAAATAAAAAATGTTTAGATTTTAACAAGCATCTTTCATATGCAGAAAGTCGCGTGGCAGATTTATATATCAAGGATATCAACTTAACATTGTGTCCAACTTCTACAATGTGATCATTTTTCAAGTCAAAGTGCCCTGCAGCGATAACACATAGTGAACCAGTTTCAAGGATACCGAAGCAATCCTGCAGAGTATGAATTCTTGCTGGTAAAGAGATATAGCAACACGATGGATATTAAGCACATGTACGATACGTGGTAAGATCCAAGGTTAGTTATACCTTGATCTTACATCGTGCTACATAAAACAAACTTAACTCAGTAAGTAATTCGTACAGCCGAGAGAATATCACTTAAGGTTTAAGGAAACTTAAACTTCCTTGCCTTAGTACGTAGCGCATTTAAAAATATCCTCACATCCGTTCTCTTCTATTTCTATTTTAATATTTTGAAAAACCCCCGGATTGGATGTTTTACATTTTTAGATCTTTCCAGAGGAAGACTTTTATCTGTTAATTTAACGAAGACATCTCGTTTCTTTTTATTCACACTTTTTGTCCTACAAATGTTACTCTTTTCATTTTTAAAAATATTATTATTATATTTTATGAAATATAATAATTTTTTGTTATGTAAAACCGATGTATCGACCTTACGCTCAGTTGGTCCAGCATCTCTTAATATGGACCGACGAGACGAGAGGCGGACCTCGTGATCTTGGTCAATCCCACGCAAAATCCGCGATAGAAGGGATAAATATATCTCTTACGTGACCGCTGTGCTTGCGCGCAATGGTGCCCTGCTATAATACCACGATGGAAGTCATCGCATTCCTCGCGTGGTCGGAATTATAGCATTATATTTTAGCTAAACAGCGAATCACACTAATACACGTCCAGATTGAGGACATTGCCTCGTAAATAAGAATTCGTTATGTTTCCACTTTATTTTTTGCTGCATTTCAAAAGCGTGAGTAATCATGAATCATAGATCAGCCTGTAGATCTCAAATTTTTTAACAATGACGAAAAAGAGCGGAACGTAATTTCATTTGCATGGAAATCTCGTATGAATTCGATTACATACAAATAAGATTAATACAATAAGAATACAATAAGAAATACAATATAGTGATCTTACATAACACACACACACTATTTTAATTATTGTTTAAAAAGTTACGAGTAGTGTGAAAGTAAAATTCTTCAACAATGTTAACATATTTATTACAATATAATTGATAGATTTTTTTCTTCCAATCAAAAGATATAATTTATTGCTATATACGCAAGTCTGCTAAAATTAGTTGCAAGAAGATTCCTTTTTACCACATATATAATTGTCCTTGAGCTTAATAAAAATAACAAAGAAGAATAAGATAAAATACAGTTTTTAAAGCATATATTATACCTATACCTATGCAATACCTGTGCAATATTCAATAGTATTTTCCCACAAAAGCCACAACCTCGATTCATGTAACTGGAATTCAGACATTGTAATCGGCTTTTAATGTCTTTCCATCGGGATGGTGATATGTGCTAGTAACGAGCAGAATCATGAGAGTACAAAATATTATCGAATGCTATAAAAATCCTGAGGAAATAAAATACATCGTCTCAAGCTTGAATTGTTCAAAGTCATCATTGCTCAAAGCGAAACGTTCATGTTCGAGTCGTAACACTTTAAATGGAGTGATTACGTTGAAACGGAATATGCCGCGCCTACAAGTAATCGTATAGATCTCAAAGAATTGCCAAGGAACACTCCACGTAACTAATCACGTTCCTTGTCGATAGCACGTTCTTGTTATCAATCGACAATGAATTAAAAGTGTACGTGTTCGTAGATCGTCAATGTCTTTTTGATTGTAACTGGACTTTCGATGACAGGTGATCAACACAGCAGATAGCTAGTAGACTTTCATGCTTTGAAGGGAGATTGGAGAGCTATTACTATTAAATTAATAATTATATTTCTTGTAATAGTAATATATATTCGATATATTCAATTCCTTTTTAATATTTTCAAGAAAAATTCTATTTTATCTTATTATTAAATTGTTTATTTAAAATGATTTCTGTATGTATTATATTTTAAGATTAAAAATACATAAAAACAAGAAGCAAATTCATCCTCTATTTTATTTTTAACAGAGTTATGATGTTAATCGATAATTTAACATTTATATATTAGGTGTTGGAATTAATTCGTAGCGTTTTACAAGTGATGGGAAGTACTTTCATTAATGTATTTTTTAATGCTCATGTGAAATAAATAACATTCTTTCATTAAAAAACGCTACGAATTAATTCCAACACCTAATACATTTAACTGGTACTTTAGAATTTAAATAAGATATCTTTTTTTTTGCACAGTATTTTCATATTAGGTCGGGGAAAAAGTTTCTTCGTATTTAAAAAAAATTTGTTGCAAAAGTTTTTCATTTGTTGCAAAATTTTCGTTACAATTATATTATTCGTTAGAGCAAAGTTTTAGCTTTAAGAATCTGTTTTTTAAATTGCGGTGGGATGATTTTTATCGGAGTTACGAGCAATCAAAGTTAGAATGCTCCTTTACTTAATTCGCGAATAACTCAGTAACAAAAAATCATAAGAACATTTTTAAAAAATGATTTTATAGGAAAAGCTTCGAGCTTTCACGATAGATAGTCGAAAATTTTTGTAAATTTTTTTTGGACACATGAGAGATTCTCAAAGTGAAAAGAAAAATTTTCATCTTTTTTTCAGTTCGCAGTTTTTTTGATGTAAAAATTATCAAACTCACAGAAACTGAAAAAATATATTAGGTGTTGGAATTAATTCGTAGCGTTTTTAATGAAAGAATGTTATTTATTTCACATGAGCATTAAAAAATACATTAATGAAAGTACTTCCCATCACTTGTAAAACGCTACGAATTAATTCCAACACCTAATATATATCTTTCGAAAGTAGAGATTTAAAGCTTTAAAATTCTCTTTTTAAATTGAAATTTCATTTATTTTTGACGAAGATATATTGTATATACAATTTTGAATTAAAAAATACGAAGAAACTTTTTCCCCGACCCAATGTTAAGCAGTAAGTAATTTATTAACGCGGTTGTCGCGACGTGGAAAAACTATTTAAAATAAGCTTACAATTACAGGCGTCGGCGCTGTGTTTAACGACGGACGAAATTGAGGCCCAGAGAAGCGGCTGGAATTTAAATCCCAATACGCAGTATCACATTCAGACTGATGAGGGTCCGGAGAGATTTTTTCGCTTTCAAACATCGAACGGCCAGTATAGGAAAGAGAAAAGATTGGCTGATGGTACAGTGATCGGCACTGAAGGCTGGCTAGACCCTCTTGGATATTTACGACTGAAGGATTACATCGCGGACCACGAGGGATTTCGAATTTTAAAGTAATCTGACTAATATAGGAATAAAATTAATATTCAAAACACGCCTAAACTAAAATCATTAGAAATCAAAAGTAATTAAGTACTTAATGACGAATTCACATTGCCGGAATCCTTTTAGGTCAAAAATGGTTTACGTCGGTAAGGATCGATCTATTCAAGACGCGATGGCGGAAGCAAAGAAGACTCCAGCGCAGACTGGAATTTTGGCCAGGCCCAAAAGGCCACCAAATCCTTTCAGGTAAAGGATTAATATCGGAAAATCGGAAAGTCAATTTATATAACGTTATAGTATATAATTTTTAATTATTTATTACAGACGACCAGATTCTAATGCCATCGTGCCGCTGTCTGGCAACGACATCACTTCCGGTTATTACGTTCCGACGACTATCAGACCCCGACCGATTTCGAGGAACAATTATTATTCTAATCGACCAGGCTACCCTTCTGAACTTCAGAGCCTGGACGTTTATCATCGACCACATGCTACGTATTATCGCGAATCTGCAGCTCGACCACCAACTCAGATTCTCGAAGCTCCATACGATCCTGCTATCGGAAGTTCCTCCCTCAAGCCAAGCTATCAATCGCCAAGCGTTTCTCAAAACGATTTCCCGTTATATGACGGCACTCATACTACAGCGAATGGTTTCCAGTATTATTTAAGGAGGCAATATCATGAGGAGGAAAGGGAGCCTGAAGGCAACAACGTCGGCTCTTTCGGTTACATCGATCCATTTGGTATTAGACGAGTGATTTATTATAAAACGGATCCGTTCTCCGGTGGATTCCTCCATAAAAAGAACAATCGATACGTCGGTTTCAACGCGACGCCATACGATCCACTTCCGCCTGATCTGTCCAGGACACGGCTCTCGAGAGCCCTCCCAACGAGCGCTTCGTAACAGTTCCGTCATTATTCATTGCTTTGCCACGTTGTAGCATCACGTTTTATCGCGAAGAGTTCATCATCCAATATCGCGTCGACGCTGGGTTTCGCTACGCTGGACGGCCTTGGTTCGATTCCGATGATCTCGACAGCGAGACCATTTATCGAATCGAACTGCCGTCTGTTATCGATGTTCTCTTAAGCAATCTTTGATCGTGAATTTTCTAGTCAGGATGGAACCAACAGATACTGTTAAAAGGAGAAAGAACAATGATGAATAGAGACGGTCTCGTAAATATTAAAGATCGTTTATATTCTAAGATAGATAAAAATTCTCCGGCAGGGATTCTCGATCACCAACGTTGCTTATGTATAATATATAGATATAACGTTTCTCAAAGTGCCACAACTAATATTCTTTTGATGTACGACTTCGTTGTGTCAGTATCGCCAACGATTCCCAATATTATTCGAGATGATGTAACATTATACGAGGGTCGATCGAACCAGGAGACTATCGAAATACAGATAAAAAGGTTCCAACGGAGAATTAGAGATAAGGATTGTGCGAAATTAACACAATGACTTTCGTCATCGAGAAGGCGGTGGCTTCCTGATTCGTCGTCCTGTCTTTGTTCTGCTATTATCGCGAGTAGATGATCGGATACCACAAAGAGACAACGTTAGATGCCATGCTGGACTATAACTCAATTTTCAGGGAAGCACAGTGGGACTTTCCTTGAAAAAAAAATTGTAGAACGCGTCGGACAATGTTCGCGAACCTTTCCAATTGCGTCACCGATCTCTAAGAAACGTGCGAAGACTCGCGACCGCCATTGTCCTCATACGCGTAAGTTTCTTTCAGTTAGTAGTCTATTTTTTGCAGGGATATTTTAGAAAATATTTATTTTCATTTGAGATGTAATCAAAATACATATCTATACAATTCTCTCTTAATAGCAAAATTAAAAAAAAAATTTTTTTCAAACTATCTGTTTAAATTATCGAAAGTTTTTGCAATTTTCTGTAGCTTTTAGGGTAAGACTGCCAAGAAGTACACACTTTTCCCTTATATGCTATATAACTTATACAAGAACTGTGTTTGAACAGCAAAATGCTACTTATATGCTTCTACTTTCTTAGTCTAGTTTTCAACCAAAAATTTGTCAAGTATTGATTTGACATAAATTCATTTTTATAGGAAATTAATTTTATTGAAAAAATAAAAATATAGGTAAAACAATATTTTTTTATAGTGTATATCTTTAGGCAAATATATTCTCAAGAATACGACACTATTAAAAAAATATCACTTATTGTATAAACAATATTGATTAAGGTACAAAAAGTATTAATTTTTGTTGTTTGAATATAAATCTTATAAATTATACTTGAAGCATTTTTTACAGAATTCACATAAATAAGTTTTCGAGTGACAATCGATCCCAGAGCAATCGATCTATGGGCCCAAAGTCAACAGCTTTGACATTAGATCCAATTTTTATTGGATTTGAAATTCAAATACAATCTGTTATAAAATATATAAACTGTATCATCATTACCATCATCTACATCTATTACTATCTTTTATGGGCTGAATCAATTTAAGTTTTCAAGTACGTACTTTTATGTCATTTTTTTATTTCTAACATAACTATTTTTAATAAAAACTATTAGGGGCTCCGCACAATAGAAGGAACAAAGAACAGAGAATAAAAATTTCAACCTATCAGAAATCATGTATTGTGGAATACACAGTTTCTGATAGGTTGAAATTCTTATTCTCTGTTCTCTGTTCCGTTCCTTCTATTGTGCGCCCCTTACAGATATTAAATAAATACGAAACAGTGACATATATGCACACAACATAAATGATACAGATTCACAATTTAATGTAAAAACCGATCGGTTTCGTGAAAATACAATAAGAAAGTGATCATAATTACAAAATTTAATATACCTCCTTTATCACTGCAATGATCACAACTATTTTTTGTATGTACACAGATTGGTTAATCAAATAGACACGTTCTGTGTAAATTACAGCTGCTACGATCTAATAGTTGCGCCGTAAAGCTCAATGCGTACTCTTGAGCGGATTTACCCGACGATTTTCCGCTTAGCGAATATGGATTTACGACAAAAACGAATTTCACCTATCGAATCAAAAAATATAAAACGATCAGCATTTTGGCGTGAGCGAATCGGTCATTAATCCTGCAATATTTTTTTTGTATTAGCGACATTTCACCCAGCAAGGTATCACAACTTTATGGTTACGAAAGAACTGCGTTATACTGTGAGGAGGACTATAGTGGTGATTTATATCGTCACCGAATCGCATCTTAAAATTTGATGCGAGAAACACAGTGATTATGCAAATGTGCATTGTTGTACGTTACATGATTAATTCAGTGTGAGCCAGAGATCCGGAAATCTTAATAGCTTTCTATTGCTGATTCTGCTGACGCTAATGGCAGTAGTTTCCTTCTTAGTTTATAATGCGTGTCCGCGAATACTTTTCACGTACTACTAATTTTTCGCGGCATACCGGAAGACTATTCGCTCGTGCCAAATGATGAAAGAGACGACATAGAATTAGTTAACCGTTAAACTTAAACCTCTTTATATCGCGACAATGGTGCAGATTGTTAAGTAAAAAACAGATACACCGCGCACTTTCCGTTCTTTTACGGCGATGAGAATCGTGCTGTTACGCTCTTTGCGTCTAATAGTCAATTGCGATTTTCAGATTAAAGTTCCCCTGCGAATGACAATGGCTGCATTCAACGTACTCAACAGTTGAGTGAGCGCTCGCTGCTATTGATGTATTCTTCCAGATCTAAAATGCTGATTGGATGATCTAAAAGAATACACTAATAAGCGCTCACTCAATTATTGAGTCCGCTGAACGCAGTCATTACAATTGTTATCAAAAAGTCAAGGGATACGATTTGTGCAGAAGGAATATCATTTTATGCTTAACTTATTTTATAAATAAATGTGAAAGCGAACAATCGCTTACATATAGAATGTCAAACATGTGATATCAGATAGTTTACATGAAAATAACAAAGTAAATAAAACTGTATTTATCGAAGTTATTGTTTATCATTAGGAATTTTAGTGAATATAAAGGAAAATTTATGGCTATTTTAATTATCAGAATTGAATATGGCACAATATGAAAGTTGTACAGCATGATAACGCGTATGTACAAACTAGCCTTTGCATTTGTGACATAATTTTCAATGCTCTGTTCACATATAAAAATAACAATTAACATAATTTAGTAACATTTGATCCGGCATATTCAACTTTAATTGTATGTATCCCATATTTTAAAATAAATAAAAATATTAATATAATATAATACAATTAAAAATATTTGTAAGTATTGTTAATGAGTTTTATAGGGGTTATTAAATTGATTTTATTTAGGAAAGCATTTTCAAACTTTCTATTGCGACAAACTAAAGAGAAATTCTTGATCTTTGATCAAGCTATCAAATAACCGACTTGGCTCTGATAATATATATTTTTTATAGCATATTTTTTTTTATTTTGACGGTAATACAATATTTTTTTGAATTTATCTAAAATCGATTTTCAAGAATATATTCTTATCTTACAAATCTACAAGTCTCCTGTAATTATTTCCGAATAATTGTTAATAATTTTAAGTATTTATTATTTACAACGTTATTTGAATTGCAAGGAGCAGGATATATAATATTATCGGTGATTCTGTGTCGTATAATAACGTCAGTGCGATGTGCATCCAGGAGCACCAGCATCCGCTTACTTATATTTGATTATCATACCTCATTCAAAGTTTCACCGGTCTCGACGCGCTACCTCGTGAAAAGTTTCACCAGTTTCGGAGAGCGCTTCTCTTTCTTTCCTCTCCGAGCACGAAGACTGATGCCCTTATAGATTTGTATGTACACTAATAATAAAGATGCTTCGCTTCGTTAAACACTATGTGTATTATATTTTCTTTTTCCGACCAAGATCGAATGCAAATCTTTTAGCATTTGTATAATTTTTTATTCCACAGAATATCGATTTATCGAATATCTGCATGCTCATATATAGATCATTTATACATGTTGAGAATGCACGACCGTTGATATGTGTAATCGCTGCTGGTAAGAAGTCGATGTATGTACTTATTTGTACAATAAATTATTTGATTTTTTTTCCGCCACATGATTCCTATTTCCTATTTTTTGTTGTTGACATATATGTACTTAATAAACATTTTTCAAAATTATACTTTTTTTCTTTCATAAATATATGTTTTTACAATAATTTAGAGATGAGAAATAATTAAAAGATAAATAAATCGTAAAAAAATAAAATGCTGTGCAAAGAATCAACACAGCTAAACTATTAAAAATATGAGTGTTCTGAAAACAGAAAATTTTTCTTTTAAGTGAACAGAAAATATATTGTGAAGGAAGTCATCGAAAAATTATATCAATATTCTGTCTATGTATAAATTTCTATAATTAAAGTTCTTGCACCAAAGGCAGAAATTCTATGGCGAGGTATATAAAAGTGATATGGCGTGATGCGCCATGAATGAACGTATAGACGCAATCACGAGTAAGTTAGTTTGCTGGGTACGGTTTACTCCCGTGACATTCTTCTTTATCGCGATACAAGAAATGTCAGTTCCCACTCGAAGAGCACAATTACGCGGCAGAGGTAGCCGCGCCGCCACAGAGAAAGATAGTGATATATAGTAGGAATTAATCATTAATATGGGAATGCCAGGATCTCACGTTTGAAAGGCTTGATGTGATCAACGATGAAAAGATGAACGAGCAAAGTCGAGCTTACCAAAGCGATGTTTCTTACTACAAATGTACATAGAAGAGTGTATTTGAGACGCGAGAGGATAAAGTAACTTAACAACTTAATAGCTATTTCTTAATAACTGTACGGTGCTGCGAATATAATATGCTATGTTTATGAAGCATCACTATTGGTACTTTCTGTTATATTCATCTCGCCTGTCGACTTGCTGGCTCAGAGGCTGTTGTGCTTTTTGGGCTGCTGCGCGAGCTTCTTCCTCCTAAAAAATAAACATATTAAAATTTTATAAACTATTTTTATTCTCTCTAAATCTTTTGAAGTAAAAATTAAGCCAGTCGTAAAAAAAAGAATAAAATTGTTCTATTGAATAAAAGTGGCAGAGTTTTACTCTTTTTTGGAATAAGATTTTATTCTTTTGGAGTGAGATCACTTCAAAGGAATAAAATCTCATTCCTTTTATTTTAGAGACTTCATTCCTTGAAGTAATTTTTATACTCTAAAAAAAGAGTGAAATCTTATTCCAAAAGAATGAAAAATCTGTTACTCTTGTTTAAAAATGTATATAGTGACTATATTTTCACTCTTGTTTTCAAGACTCAATTTTTAGTCAGAAGTGAGGTTTCACTCCTAAAGATTAGAGTTAATTAATATTATAAATATTAATTAATATTAATTATATTATAAATATTAATTATATTATATTATATTATAAATATTAATTAATATTATAAATTAGGTTTTGTTGGTTTATTAATTAGTTTTTCAGAAGGTTACAAAATCTATTTTTTAAAAAGATCATTTTTTTCTTTTTCAGAAATAATGTTAACTTGATTAAATACATAGCTAAGCGTTAAAACTAATTTTATTATCTATTATTGTCAGAGAATAAGATTAACGCGATATTTGTAACGCCGTTACTTTTACTGTTATTTTGTTATAAAAACGATTTGAAAATGACGATAACATATGGCAACTAATGATAACATCAGGGTTGGAAGTCATCCATTATTAAAAAAAAGTAACTCATTTTTTTGTAATGCGTCGATCAATCGATGTGTTACTTTTAATTCGTTACAAGAGTAACAAATTATTTTTTCCATTTTCAATAAATTACGCGTAATATTATTTCCTTTAGTCATTAAAAAATCTTTTATTCAAAGATTTGCTGTTCCTATTTACAATAGATATAAATTTAAAATATGACCAACAGATTTGTATGATATCGGTAAAGCTAATTATTACAATTAATTATCACTACGGTCTACGGTGCAATTTTAATTAGATGTAAATATCTCGGCACGGATTTGTCAATAGCTTTCTACGGTGCGTAGATAAGAATTGTAGTTTTCGACAAGATAAGGAAAAAAGAACCAGTAGCTATTACCGATGTAATAATTAACGAGAGTTGAAAGGAAACGGCATACGAGTAACTAGTTTTTTCCCTTGCTTTGCGCAGGTCATTCATACCATATAGCGGTCTTTAACCTTTGCAACGATATGGATCGGCATGATTTCGCAAGTATGCTCATAACGTAAATAACTGAATGGCTTTTCGCAAACACTGCTTGGAAACCGTGACCTATGCTAGCTGTGACGAAACAGAAGTTCTTCCCATAAGATCGCGGAGAATGTTTTCCATAAAGGTGAACATGAACGTGAACAAAAGTAACAAGAGAGATAAAAGAGGAAGAGAATAAGTGGGGATAGAAAACTGTGAATGGATTTTAACTGCAATGAAGTAGTAAAGTTTTACAACATATATATGATTACTCACAATCAGTCACGTAATCTTGAATGAGTCTGCTCTTTTAATACTTTTATATCCAATAATTCTCTACTAATGTTCCTTTAATAGAATTTAAATTTTAATGTCAGTTATAAAATGCTTGTTATTAATGGAGATTATTTATTTTAGACAATCCATTCAAATTGATACTGTTGCAATATTAATATTTTTCTAATTTTATCTGCAACAAGCAATAATCTATAACTATAATAGATTACATATATTTTCGAGTAATCTCCATACATCTTATTGATCGTATTTTGCAAATAAAATCGCTTTGTTAAGGCACCGTTAATTATCTAAATTAAATTACTGTTAAATACCTATAGTGTGGAATTTCATAGAATTAAACGACTTTCATAGAATTATACAACTATTATAAAAATAATTATAGAGAGTAATATAATAGAGGCCCCGAATGGAAAAGAAAAGGTTATAGAGTATACTTACCTCTTGCTGACGAATACCCGCGTAGATGAGGTCGAGGCCTTTCTGGATCTCTTCACTAACAGGCGGTGGCGTGGGAATATGATCGCCCTGAGCGTGAAAGCCGGTCTCGTCGGCGGTATAGTGAATGGTGATCAGCTGTCCCTCGGGACTCGTGTACGAGAAGGTGCCTTGTTGCACGATCGCCTCCGCCCGGTCTTCACCTTCGCCAATAGTCTTGATGTAGCCACTTTCCTCAGCAATGATATTGTTGCCCGTTTCGTAACTGTAGGATTCAAACCGCCAAGGGTGTTAAATAATCGATTACGCAAAACGGACGATCCAGAAAGCCAACCAGTCCGTGTTACGTAACGTTAAAATGCGCGCTGGCAAAGTTCGCATGGATTCAAGGCATCAGGTAATGTCGCAGTCTGATAAATAATTGCGTCAACTTTCGGGACCGATTACGTGAATACAAACTCGCATAACAGAAGATTTCAGAGAATAATGACATATATTATGTAGAGTAAGATAAAATGTTAGATCATTAGCGAAATCTTTATCTTTAGCGCACATGATGTAAGAGCGAAATTAAAGAAATATTTTTTGTATATTTGAAATATTATGTGCATATATAATAATATATTATTATTACTTATTACTCGTTTTAAAAATTATACTACAAGTATAGCTGGCATTATCACTGCAATAATTTAAGAAGCTATCTTTTTTTCTGAATTGTGTAAATATTTTTAATTGTGTAATTACCCTATTTTATAAGTTCCATCGTGTTCCTGCTGTTTGTTCCAATGCAAGATTGGGATGGGCGTGGTGCTTGTAAGTCGTCTGTTGTCAGCTTGATGTTGTTCATCATCCTGTTGGTAGTTACGTCCATGTTGGTAATTTTGATCTTGCGCCACTGCTAATCCCAGAATCATTGCTAATGCCTAAAAAATTATAAATATTAGTTTTCTTGATTAGCGAATGCATGATTGAGATACAAGAAAAAAATGTTGAAAATTGTTTCATATTGCGATTACAAAACGCATGTGTGTATATTATTAAACGTATGTATATCATATAAGATTCGGATTACATCAGTTATTTCCCTTTCTAATCGGCATTCTAAGATTAGAAGTACTTTCCAGCAAGAGACACAGATGACACAGTGTAACATAGTGAATCATAATATCTTTGTTGTTTGTTAATATTAAACAAAGATGAAATGATCACTATATTACACTGGCTGTGTTCCAAAATTCACTGCCAATGCTGAAAATATATAGTATATGTAACGTAAACCGTAAATTTTTAGTGCTGGAACATAGTTGTGTGCTGGAAAGCATCATAGCTCAACTGGTAAAATGATCAATGGGAATAAGTAGATATAGATGAGTGTAATGCGAAAATTTCAAAGTGGATTTATCGGTTTCTCTACTACGAAATCAGGCGATGTGCTCTCAGGAGATGAGTGAAAGTGAAAAGCAAATGCCAACGCGGGTCATTTAACTCCTGACCCGCAAACTCGTACAGCTGGGCCCGTCCCATTTCATCCCAACCTATCGTGATCCCCTTCTACATTATTCTTTTGATGTCGCATTGCTTGTCCCGTTGCGATCTTATTCGTTTATTAATTGAATCATAGATTTATTGTTGAGAGAGAGAAAGAGAGATTTGGAATACCATTTTTTAAAAATTCTATTTTCATGCTCAATTGAATGATTAATCGTAAAGCTTAATAAAATATTTAAAAACGAACAAAAAGAAATAATTTTAATATAATATGCACAGTTGTATTTTGTAAAAATTGTTCCATTAAAAAAACAATATTATAAATGAATGTGTTTAAGTTTGAAAAAATATTTCGAAAAAATAACGTTTAAACTCATATCAGCCTCCGGATTATGTAAAACTTCAAGATTTTAATCCCACGCAATTCTTGTTTCGTCATATCAACAGTACATCTTACGCATATAAATTAATAAATGCAGATTGTCGTAACAATGTATCAATAACAATGGTGCCTTTTTAAAATTCTATAAGGATCACATATTTCGCTAACATGTTAAACAATTCTTCTAATTAAATTAAACATTTTTTAACTTTTGAATTTAGTAAATTTAATCAAATTTGATAAATATAAATAAATGAATAAATAATAATGAAAAATGAATAAATATTTCTGAAAATCATATTTTATTATTGTTTCTTAGTTATTATTAATTTTATTTTAGAACAGATGCATTATTTCTTTTTGAAATTATAATTAGAAAGACACGACAAGAATTGAATAAGACATTAAAATGAAGATAAAATTATTTAATATCAATTAAATTGATTTTTACATATATTTTTGCAACGCAGCAAATATATAATACAATCAGGAACATTCGAACTTACTTTTTCCGAAACAATTCCAAAGAGACAAAGTCGTATCACGCTTAATTGACATTTCGGAAGACAGTCTTTCGCGGTTACTTACCACGTATTTCATCCTGACTCGAAAGATGTACTTCTTCAATAAGACAGGTGACAACGTGAATATGCGTCAGGGATATGATGGCAAACGTAGGGAGATAGTCGCAAACGAACGAGATCGACTGCGATCCCAAGAGAGGAAAGAAATCCCCTTTTATACTGACTCTCACTTTATCCCTACTCGAGAAGACGATAGGCTTCGAAAGATGCTTCGTATGCTTTACGGCAAAGAGCCTACATATTTGCCGGAGTAAACGCATGTGTGGGATAGTGGCTTCCTTCGTATTAAGCGTTCGTGTTGAGCCTGATATTCCGATATCAAGAGGCATCTTGATCCGATTATGACATTACCATATATGATCTTAGTCTTGAAATCCTATCGTTTATCTTCCGATAGCTTTTTAATTACTATTATTTGCAAAAACTTGTCGCTCTTGATTTTATTTATGATAAAATTAATTAAATCAGATTTAAGTAAAATAATTAATGAATGAGTTTATTCATATATTGTCTCATAATCTAAAATGTTACTTTATATACTTATAGTTTTACGAAAAAGTACTCATACGTAAACGTAATAATAAATTATACGCATTAATGTTTTTAATATTGAAACGCTAATAGAGTGTTGTGTAAATTCAATTATTTTTTCGCGGAACATATTGCAGGTGATTCGAAATTCTTTCATACATAGCTTTGCAGTTGCATCTCCATTTAGATCTACATAGTTTCGTAGAGTTTGAGACTAGAAAAACAATAGATGACGAACACACTCTAATATGCATACTTATGCATCAGAATGCACATATAAACAATCCACGATTTGTAGTCAGGGACTGCGTTTTCAATTAGCACAATACGCTTGTTTTTACGCGGCCTTCGGATTACTCCGGCTTTTCTTCTTTTCATTTTAAGAAAATTAAAAAGATTCGATTCTTGCATCTTTTAATTAATAATTACGATTTAATTAATAATTACATTTCTGCACAGAAGTTGTAAATAATGACCCGATGAGTATCATTAGACTAGAAATTAATAGAATTAATAATACTGTACTTATGGAAATGTTTCTAAGTCTAACAATTGCATATGAGTCTGTGCGAGTGACGATTCGCATATCTATATATTAGAAAATAATTTATTTATGTGCTAGAAAAGATAGAATCAACGCATCAAGAATTTCACTTTAGCATTTAATCAAGATTTTGCTATGATGATATTTTGGAGATGAAAATTAGCGAAAGTAGAGCCACGGTTGTATTAGTCATGTGCATAAATTAATAATTGGGAGAGGAAGGTATCCAACCCGAAAAATCGTATGCGTAATATACATTATCCAAGTTTTATGCTATCTTGCGGAATTAATTTCTTAATAAAATCTAGTCATCTATAGTAGGATTAGTGTGCCTTCCCTGTACTCTATTGTCTGAAGGCGTGTAAGGAAGACATCCCGGGATTATTACGTAAACAGATAGATATGCTAAGTACTTTCACGTAGAGTCGGCGAGGAGCCGTTGACTTCCGATGCGACATGAAATTCGCATTCTTACCTAGAAACAAATTATGTACGTGTAATCGAACGTACATGGGTCGATGCTATAACATTACTTTTCGCGCGTGAAATGAGTTTGTCTCTCGTGTAAGATATCACTACGGATAAACCGTCGGATCATTGATTGTCACAGAATATCAACTGATATAATCGTTACTATACATAATACTTCAGTTAGTAGCGATAATCGCCGTTACACAGGTTACAATGTAACTTAATAAGGTATATACATATATCCTGGTAAAAAAATTTCGCTGAAATTATTTCACGTTTTGGAACATTTCAATGAAATTGCTGAAAATTTGCTGAAATTTCACTGAATGTGAATTTTTCACCTAATGTACTGAAAACTCGCTGAAATTGAACGGAAATTTCTCTAAAATTTTTTTTTAATGTTGAAATTTTGTTAAAAAGTTCTAAAACGTGTTGTAAAACGTGGAACAATTTCAGCCATCAAAAAATTTTTCCATCAGGGATTGAAATGTACCACCTTAATGTGTAATTATTGCTTCATGGCAGTAAAAAAAAAGATTTTATACATCTCGGCTGAAACGTGATTACGATAAGCGTAGAGGCGCGATATTATGAAATTGCTTTAATCGTTTACAGATCTTTCGCGTGGATTAACGCAGTATTGAAAAGTCCTGATACACAAGGACATTTTATTATCGGAACAATATACATAATCGGGACATCACAAACGCTTGCATTCGCTCGCGTGACTTTGGCAAAATATTCGTAAGAGGAAGATAATACATGTATGTTAAGATTATTATCATTTCGTACACACCTTACCTACCCTCTATTCATGATGCAGGGCAAAGTTGCTGCGAGGCATTAAAAGGCACTAAAATGTAATAACAATGTAATTATATATGTCATTATATCATTCGGTATAAAAAAGATAATATTAAGATGAAGAATTTTTTAAAGATTTACTTTTGTAGTTGTTAACAGAGGAGTAAGAAGCGGAACAAGGAGACAGGGGGACGAGTGTTCCAGGTGGAATATAACTGTCAAAAAGATATTGATACATAAATTTTAAAATTATAAATTTACAAGATACGTAAAAGTATAGCATGAATAATAAGATTCTAAATCGCTAAATAATCGGATAAAGAGAGAGTCTTGAACCTTAGATTGTATGTGGTATTGTCCTCCATAGGATTGACAGGTGAATAATAGGGCGCAGCCATAGCCCATGGTTTCTCGATCTGATCTGCCGGCTCTACCGGCTGATAACTCAATCGCATCGTAGTCTCGGATTCCATCGCAATGTCGGATGGGTGGTACTTACGTATAGGCGCGTACGATTGAATAGGCAGTACACATTTGTGATCATTCGGTATATAAGACAATCTATGAGTCGTGCAGGCTGCAATGATTATTTGTTAATAATAAAAAAATCACAAACAAAGTAGTCGAGCAACGTCTAAGATTTTTTCTTTTTTTATAAATGGTGCGCTTTTTCGTCTTTGATGAAGAAATAGTATTATACTTTCTCCGATAAATACGATTATAAAATGTCAGATACATAAATTACTGCAATTATAATATTTTACTTATGTGTCATTAAACACTTACATTCCAGTGGCAAGGATGAGAAAGTAAGATGGTTCTCGGGTCGAAGCACTGTCGATGGCATCCCGCGCTTCCAAGTGTAATCATGCTTTTGCGTAGTCTCATCTTGCATCGGTCCTCTGCCCAACAATTGTGTGTCACACGACGTGATGGACGTTTCCGGTTTGAAGCACCAGTTGCCTAGAAAACTCAACTGCAACGATACGAGATTAATGAAATTTCGAGTTTTCAAAAGTTCAAAAATTTTGATTTAAATTTAAATCTATTAATTAAAAAGTGATCATGCAATTTAAACTATAAAAATTTCTGTAATTAACAGTCTCGTCTCAAACGTGATTTGATGTTGAAACGATGATGCTGACAAATGTTTTCAATCTTTAAGGGAATAATCACTGTTGTCTCAATTCGCTACAATGGCATGATATGACTTGATAGAATTAATGGACTATCGAATCAATCTGCGAAACGATGCATCGATTATTAGACAATTTAAGAAAATTATCTCGTAATCGTCACATAATACTAAATAATAAACTCGAGAACATAACTATCGATCCGAATTAGTGCATCCTCAAATTAAATTTATCATGAAAGTACAATTCAGCATTTACTAACCCGATTGACGGTATCGTGGGAGAGTGGGCACGGAGAGAAAATTATATTGCCAGGCTGACGAACGGGATCCGGTGGTTTGTCACCGCCATATCCGAAATAACTGAGTTGGTACGTGGTGTTGTCGTCAAAGCAGCAGCCGGCGTTCAGCAAGTTTTCAGTTCCAGTGTGAACAAAAGGTTCCGGTCGCTTCTCATCACAGTTAGGCCAATAACTTAATTTGTAGGTCGTGCATCCATCCATCGGCGTTACTGAGGGATGATAGTCTACCTTTGGTTTCCACGGTTGTTCCTCCTATAAAAACAAATAATTATTTATATTTAATAAATATTTATAAAAAAGGAAATTATTTTTTACTAAAGTCAATAAATTTCTAATATATTAGGTGTAAATAAGTACAAATAAGTTTCCGCTGTTTTTAATAAAAAATTAAGCATTTATTGTGAAAGAACGATACATAATGTTTTATTGAAAGTATTGTCCGTCGCTAGCCACTACTTTTTCCCATCTTTCTGGTAGCATACGGATAACGGCGTGGAAGAACGACTTCACTTTTTATGCT